GTAAATGATGGTGCAGAGTCCCCATACACAGAATCCAACTCATCTTTGATTTGCGTAGGCGTATTGCCTTTCAAAAACAAATATTTAATGACAGCTCGATACTCGATTTTGTCCATTTTCACAAAAACACTCACATCAACTTACTCAAACGACTGTTACATAACAACTGCGAGTCCAAAATGGCTGAAACTTCGGTGAGTAACTGTCAACAGATGAACAACGAAATTCACTAGCTTTTATTTACAAGTGCTGCTATCTTCACGTTGAGGTCGGAAACTTTTCAGACCACCCTCGTATATGTTTCCAATCAACAAGTTTATTAAAATAATCTTCCGTAAATACTTTCTATACACATGGACTGCAGTACGCTGTATTTTAAACTTATTTAAAAATTACTATATCAAATAATTTATTTTAAAAATAATTCATTTAAATCTGGAAGTTAAACCACGTTTATAACAAGTTTGATAAAAATTGTACTTTTTAAGTTCTTGAAAAATATGCTCCCGTATTTCGAAACAATATTCATAAAAAAGATTAAAAATATAATTGTAAATAAAATAAAATAATAAGTAAATTAACATTATGTTAATACGTTTCTTTCATTTCCATCTCTCTTTTCTTCTATGTAAATTTCGTCTCTTTATTTATTTTTCTTTTCTTTCTTATCTTACTCTATGCCACAGATATAGTTCACTGTATACACTTATAGAAATATCATACGAATCATTGATAATTACTTATTTTCAGTATTAAAAATACTGGATAATAAGTAATTATTAATGATTCTTCTATAGTATGATATTTCTATAAGGATAGTTTTTGATCTGTAATTAAAATTCGATTCATACTGGTTTTACTTATAAATATGTTGATGTACAATGTCGTATTCTTTTGACTTTGTTGTTTTAACTACTTGAACCTGCGGTTCTTCATTAGCGTTTTCAGTTTACTTATTCTTTTTACATTCAGACCAAATACGATTCAACTGTAGACAATTTTCTATTTCCAAATAACCAAACAAAAATTTAATGTATATTCTGCGTAGCTTTTCATGCAGATATAGATTATACATGCAAATATGTACAGTTATATATAGAGATATCTAAAGTTATATACAATAAGAGGGACCTGTCTTATGTTGCTGTGTAAACATTGAATCTAATTGAATATCAGAGTAAAAGTATTCTTAAAATGTCCACACTTACCACTATCTCCCATCGAATAATGTTCCCACATGTAACAATAATTTCATAACTTGACACAAATAGAAACATAAACATTGTTCTTATTGGCATCAATCATCAACATATTCCTTGAGAAAGATGTCCACTGAAACCGCAGACAAACCAAAATGCGAGTCAGATAATAAGAAAATAATATGTCGGAAAGTCGCGTGATATATACGGAATAATCTTTTTAATATTGATTGGTTTACTGTTAGTTACGGAAGCGCAGTCGGTAGAGAGCTCCATGAGTTTGGAATACACGATAAAACCCAGCGACGAATTTCTTCACGTTTTCGAATTATCATGCACATTTAGTAGGAATAAAAGTACTCTTAATAAAAAGAAAATCAAGACAATAGAAACAAATATGGACAAATTATATAACGAGGTCACCAAACCGGGAAACGCAACGTTAAATGATATCATAACTCTTGCATACAGTTACCAAAATTTATGTCATGGTTACATTAAGTTAAATCAGAAAAAGGAATTATGTATAGGAAAAAATTATATTTTGCGTTGTTTGAATTTGGTGAGAGGTAAAGAGCTGAATCCTAAATCTATTATGATAGCTCTAAAAGGCCATTACCAGTTAGGTTTTATTTTTTTTAAACAAAAGAAGATAGGAGCAGCTGTACAAACATGTAACAAAGCTGTAGGATTATATTTGACATATACACACGATAAGGAAAAGTACGGTAATCCTAATAATTTTGAAAATATTATCACTAAGCTTTCGGAAGATGGTTTTAACTTTCTAAATTTAATATATAGAGATATTTTAAAATTAATAATAGAGTCCAATGCGAATATAGATGATTACAACATGATAGCATACAATCATTTGCTTTTAGCAGCTGAGTTAAATATATTACAAGTAACAGGAAAATATCTTTCGTGGATTAAATCAGCATTGAATATAAGCAATTATTTAGTACTGCACGACCGTTTCGCCGAAGCCAGTAGCCATATTATTACTGCAATTTATGTGAAAAAGAAATATTTTCATGGAATACTTGGTAATATGAAGGAGTAGATATTTTCCTCAGAAGAACAGAAACTGAGTGAATTGTACTTAGAATTAGAGATGGCTTTTAGTATTTCATGTATAAAAGACGGCATTAAGCTTTTGCGTAGATCAGTGGAACGATTGCTACGATTAGAAAAAGGCGAAGAATTTGAGATTGATAACTTAAATTCAGGACATCCAACAAAACTGGAGATAGATATATCATAGAGGTTATTACTATTCAATGATATAGATACAGAAATTCCACTTACGAGTATAACTCCATCACTACCGGTTAAATACATTTTACATTATAATGACGCATACAAAACATTTACCAGTATCTTATGGAATGTTTCCATTGTGAGATATTTGTTTGATAAAAGCAGGGACCTAAAAACATATGGACAACTTATATTAAACACTTGCGAAGCGTACAAATATATGGCACGCTATGAGAAGGACGTAATTATTCGGAGCTTGCTACGAAATGTGATTGTAAATCTTTTATCGGAAGGTGTAAGAAGTAAACTTATAATAATGCGTTCTTTTGACACGCATTATCGTATACAATTATACCTAGCGATTACTATTTCAAATATAATAAATGTTAAACTTGAAACGACCGCAATTCACCCAATACACATGTCGGAAAAATATAAAACATTTGTGTTTGAAATTGAATTTCTAGTAAGGATTGCCTTGATACATTTAAAAATGTTATCTTTGAAATAATGTTAGTAAATATTTTAAATTATGTTAATGAATATTGATAATAGGCCAAGTTCTTTATTAGTTTCACATTGATAGAAACATACGCAATGATGTTTATCGCCGTAATATTGAAAATAAAGTAAAAATGAGATTATTAATGTTTATAATATTTAGTTGAAAGGGCTTTTAATTGGAAATACAATATTACAACATATTTATTTGTGTGTATATAGAAACACTTACTGATTAATATTATGTGATAATTTGATAAGTTTTACGAAAAGATTGATATAATGTTATAAGATAACTCAAAATATTTAGAGATTATCCTAGATATTTTCAAAATATCCTTGGAGATTCTGCATTTTAAGTATCTTCAGGATAATTCATTGATATCTTCTGTTATTTAAATTTTTCTTAATATATAAACAAAGATAAGAAATGTTTAAATAGAGTTACTGCAAGTCAGTAAGTCAATTCCGTTCTTATAAAAATTTCATAAGAATAATATATAACGTAAAATATAAGGACTTAAAATGCATGTATGTTTCCAATCAACAAGATCATTAAAATAAGTTTTCCTAAATACTGTCTATACATATGAATTACAGTATGCTATATTTTAAACGTTACTTGTTTAAAAGTTACTATATCAAATAATTTATTTTAAGAATAATTTATTTGAATATGAAAGTTAAACCAAGTTTATAATAATTTGGTTAAAAATTATGCTTTTTAAGTCCTTAAAAAATGTGTTCCCATATTTAAAACAAATTTATAATGAAAAATTGAAAATATTATTATAAGTAAAATAAAATAATAAATAAATAATATTATGTTATTATGTTTTCTTAATTTCTATCACTCTTTTTTTCTATGTAATTCTTGTTTTCTTGTTTATTTTTCTTCTTTTTCCTCTTTTACTCTCCTTCACAGATACACTGTACAGTTTTTGATCTGTAATTAAAATTCGATTCATGCTGGTTTCAATTGTAAATACGTTGATGTACTATGTCACATTCATTTGACTTCCTCGTTCTAGCTAACTGAACATGCGTTCTTCATTAGCGTTTTCACTATATTTTCGTTTTAACATTCAGACAAAGTTCGATTCAGTTATACAGGTAGGCAACTTTCTATTTGCAAATAACCAAATAAATATTTAGTGTATCTTTTGCGCAGCTTTTCATGTAAACATAGATTTTATGTGTAAATATCTAGATTCATATATATATATATATATATATATATATATATATATATATATATAGAGAGAGAGAGAGAGAGAGAGAGAGAGAGAGAGAGAGAGAGACCTAAAGATCTAGTAAATATTAAAAAATCTAATAAATTATGGATGTAAATATGTAGAGTCACATATAAAAATATCTAGAATTATATGCAATAAACAGCCTGTCTTATGTTGCTGTAATCGTTGAATATAATTGAGTATCAGGCTAAATGTATTCTTAAAATTTCCACACCTATCTCACATCGAATAATGTCCCCACGTATAACAATAACTTCATAACTTGACACAAATAGAAACGCAAACATTCTTCTTATAGGCATCGATCATCAACATATTCCTTAAGGAAGATGTCTATCAAAACCGTAGACAAACCAAAATGCGAGTCAGGTAATAAGAAAATAATATATCGGAAAGTCGCGTGATACATGTGGAATAATCTTTTTAATATTGATTGGTTTAATATTAGTTACGGAAGCGCAGTCGGTAGAGAGCTCCCTGAGTTTGGAATGCACGATAAAACCTAGCGACGAATTTTTTCACGTTTTCGAATTATCTTACGTATTTAATATGGACAAAGGTACTCTTACTAAAAAGCAAATCAGGATAATAGAAACAAATATGGACAAATTATATAACAAGGTCACCAAACCGGGAAACGCAACATTAATTGATATTATAACTCTTGCATACTGTTACCAAAATTTATGTCATTATTACCTTAAGTCAAATCAGAAAGAACTAAGTTTAGGAAAAAATTGTATTTTGCGTTGTTTGAATTTGGTGAAAGATAAAGAACTGGATCCCAAATCTATTTTGATAGCTCTAAAAGGCCATTATCAGTTAGGTTTTATTTATTTTAAACAAAAGAAGAGAGGAACAGCTGTACAAATATGTAATAAAGCTATAGGATTATATTTAACATATACACACGATAAGGAAAAGTACGGTAATCCTATTAATTTTGGAAATATTATTACTAAGTTATCACTAGATGGTTATTACTTGCTAAATTTAATATGTAGAGATATTTTAAAATTAATAATAGAGTCCAATGCGAATATAGATGATCACAACATGATAGCATACAATCATTTGCTTTTAGCAGCTGAGTTAAATATATTACAAGTATCAGGAGAATATCTTCTGTGGATTTCATCAGTATTGAAAGTAAGCAATTATTTAGTACTGCACGACCGTTTTGCAGAAGCCAGAAGCCATATTATTACTGCAATTTATGTGAAAAAGAAATATTTTCATGAAATACTTGGTAATACGAAGGAACAGATATTTTCCTCAGAAGAACGGAAGCTGAGTGAATTGTACTTAGAATTGGATATGGTTTTTAGTATTTCACGGATAAAATACGGCATTAAGCTTTTGCGTAGGTCAGTGGAACGATTGCTACGATTAGAAAAAAGCGAAGAATTTGAGATTGATAACTTAAATTCAGGACATCCAACAAAATTGGAGGTAGATATATCACAGAGGTTATTACTATTCAATGATATAGATACAGAAATTCCATTCACGCATATAAATCCATTCCTACCGGTTAAACACATTTTACATTATAACGACGCATACAAAATATTTACCGATATCCTACGGAATGTTTCCATTGTGAGATATGTTCTTGATAAAAGCAGAGACCTAGAAACATATGGACAACTTATATTAGACACTTGCGAAGCGTACAAATATATGTCACTCTATGAGAAAGACATAACTAATCGAAACTTACTACGAAATGTGATTGTAGATCTTTTATCGGAAGGTGTAAAAAACCAACTTTTAAAAACGCGTGCTCCTGGCACGTATTCTAGCATACAATTACACCTAGCGATTACTCTTTCAAATGTAATAAATGTTAAACTTGAAAATGCGGCCACAATTAACCCAATGTACATGCCGAAAAGATATGATGATATTGAGCTTGAAATTGAATACCTCGTAAGAATTGCTTTAATACATTTAAAAATGAGGTCCTTTTAATAGATAATTATGTTAGTAGATTTTGATAATAGGCCAAGTTCTGTATTAGGTCCACATTGATAGAAACATACACGTTAATGTTTATCGCCGTAATGTTGAATATAAAGAAAAAAATGAGATTATCAACGATTACAATATTTAGTTGAATAAAAGGGTTTTTTAATGAGAAATACAATATTGCAACATATTTGTTTGTATGTGTACTGAACTGATTAATATCATGTGATAAGTTAATAACTTTTACGAAAAAGGTTGATATAATGTTATAAAATATTTAGAGATTATACTGCATGTTTTCAAAATGTCCTTTCGGATTCTGTATTTTAAGTTTTTTTCTGGATAATTCAGAGACATCTTCTGTTATTTAAATTTTTTTATTATAAACAAAGATAAGAAATGTTTAAATAGAGTTACTGCGAGTCAGTAAGTCACTTCCGTTCTTATAAAAATTCAAAAAAATAATATACAACGTAAAATATAAGGACTTAAAATGTATATGTATATATATATATGTATTTCCTATCAAGTCTATTAAAATAAGCTTCCGTAAATACTGTCTATACATATGGACTGCAGTATGCTGTATTTTAAACTTGTTTAAAAGACACTATATTAAATAATTTATATTAAGGATTATTTATTTGAATGTGAAAGTTAAACCAAGTTTATTGCAAGTTTATTACAAATTATGCTTTTTAAATTCTTAAAAAATATGTTTACATATTTCAAAATAATGATTATAATAAAAGATTGAACAATTTTGGATTATAATTGGAAATAAAATAATATAATAAGCAGATTAACATTATGTTAGTATGATTTCTTCATTTCTATCTTTCTTTTTTCTAAGTAATTTCTGTCTCCTTGTTTATTTTTGTTCTTTTTCCTATCTTACTGTACTCCATAGATACACTGTATAATTTTTGATCTATAATTAAAATTCGATTCATACCGGTTTTTATTGTAAATACGTTCTTACGTAAATACAATGTCATTTGACTTCGTCGTTCTAACTAACTGAACATACGGTTCGTCATTAACGTTTTCACTTTATTTATTCTTTATATTCAAACCAAATTCGATTTCATTGTAGGCAACTTTCTATCTCCAAATTATCAAACGAATATTTAGTGTATCTTCTGCGCAGCTTTTAATGTAAATATAAAGTATATGCATAAATATCAAGATTTATATATATAAAGATACTTAAAGATTTAGTAAATATCTAGAAATCTAGTAAATTCTATACTTAAATATCTAGAGTCATATATAAAAATATCTAGAGTTTATATAATACCTAGTTTATATCAAATAAACAGACCTGTCTTACATTGCGGTGTAAACGTTGAATATAATTGAGTATCGGACTAAATGTATTCTCAAAATTTCCACTCGTACCACTATCTCACATAGAATGATGTTGTCACGTGTAACAATAATTTTATAACTTGACACAAATAGAAACACAAATACTCTTCTTATTGGCATCGATCATCAACATAATCCTTGAGGAAAATGTCATCCGAAACTGCAGACAAACAAAAATGCGAGTCAGGTAATAAGAAAATAATATGTCGGAAAGACGTGTGATACATGTGGAATAATCTTTTAATATTAATTGGTTTAATGTTAGTTACGGAAGTGCAGTCAGTGCCATCGAGCTCCCTGAGTTTGGAATGCACGATAAAACCCAGCGACGAATTTCTTCATGTTTACAAATTATCATACACATTTAGTACGAATAAAAGTACTCTTAGTAACAAGGAAATCAAGACAATAGAAACAAAGATGGACAAATTATATAATAAGGTCACCAACTCGAAAAACGCAACATTAAATGATATTATAATTCTTGCATATTGTTACCAAAATTTATGTCATGGTCACATTAAATCAAATCGAAAAGGGGAACTACGTATAGGAAAAACTTATATTTTGCGTTGTTTAAATTTGGTGAAAGGTAAAGAGCTGGATCCCAAATCTATTTTGATAGCTCTAAAAGGCCATTTCCAGTTAGGTTATATTTATTTTACGCAAAAGAAGTCAGAAAAAGCTCTACAAACATGTAATAAAGCTATAGAATTATATTTGACATATACAGACGATAAAGAAAAGTACGGTAATCCTATTAATTTTGAAAATATTATCATGAAGCCATCGGTAGATAATTATTACTTGCTAAATATAATATACAAAGAGATTTTAGAATTAATAGTGGTCCCAGATATAAATTTAAGTTATAACAACATGGTGACATACAGTCATTTGCTTTTAACAGCTGAGTTAAATATGTTACAAGAATCAAGAGAATATCTTCTGTGGATTAAATCAGCATTAAAAATAAGCAATTATTTAATACTGCACGACCGTTTCGTAGAAGCCAGAAGCCATATTATTACTGCAATTTATGTGAAAAAGAAATATTTTCATGAAATACTTGGTAATACGAAGGAGCAGATATTTTCCTCAGAAGAACGGAAGCTGAGTGAATTGTACTTAGAATTGGATATGCTTTTTAGTATTTCACGGATAAAATACGGCATTAAGCTTTTGCATAAGTCAGTGGAACGATTGCTGCGATTAGAAAAAGGCGAAGAATTTGAGATTGATAACTTAAATTTAGGACATCCAACAGAATTGGAGGGAGATATATCACAGAAGTTATTACTATTCAATGATATAGATACAGAAATTGCATTCACGCATACAAATCCATTCCTACCGGTTAAATATATTTTACATTATAACGACGCATACAAAATATTTACCAATATCCTAAGGAATGTTTCCATTGCGAGATGTTTTCTTGATAAAAGCAGAGACCTAGAAACATATGGACAACTTATATTAGACACTTGCGAAGCGTACAAATATATGTCACTCTATGAGAAGGACATAATTAATCGAAACTTACTACGAAATGGGATTGTAGACCTTTTATCGGAAGATGTAAAAAACCAACTTTTAAAAACGCGTGTTCCTGCCGTGTATTGTAGTACAATACAATTACAACTAGCGATTACTCTTTCAAATGTAATAAATGTTAAACTTGAAAATACGGCCACAATTAACCGAATGTACATGCCGAAAAAATATGGTGATATTGAGCTTGAAATTAGATGGCTCGTAAGGATTGCTTTAATACATTTAAAAATGATGTGCTTTTAATAGATAATTATGTTAGTGGATTTTGATAATAGGCCAAGTTCTGTATTAGGTCCACATTGATAGAAACACACACGTTAATGTTTATCGCCGTAATTTTGAATATAAAGAAAAAATGATATTATCAACGTTTACAATATTTAGTTGAATGAAAGGACTTTTAATTGGAAATACAATATTACAACATATTTATTTGTGTGTATATAGAACTAATTAATATTATGTGATAAGTTGATAAGTTTTACGGAAAGATTGATATAATGTTATAAGATAACTCAAAATATTTAGAGATTATCCTAGATATTTTCAAAATATCCTTGGAGATTCTGCATTTTAAGTATCTTCAGGATAATTCATTAATATCTTCTGTTATTTAAATTTTTCTTAATATATAAACAAAGATAAGAAATGTTTAAATAGAGTTACTGCGAGTCAGTAAGTCAATTCCGTTCTTATAAAAATTTCATAAGAATAATATGTAACGTAAAATATAAGGACTTAAAATGCATCCAAATGTTTCCAATCAACAAGATCATTAAAATAAGTTTTCCTAAATACTGTCTATACATATGAATTACAGTATGCTATATTTTAAACTTGTTTAAAAGTTACTATATCAAATAATTTATTTTAAGAATAATTTATTTGAATATGAAAGTTAAACCAAGTTTATAATAATTTTGTTAAAAATTATGCTTTTTAAATTCTTAAAAAATATGTTCACATATTTCAAAATAATGATTATAATAAAAGATTGAACAATTCTGGATTATAATTGGAAATAAAATAATATAATAAGCAGATTAATATTATGTTAGTATGATTTCTTCATTTTTTTCTTTTTTTCCAAGTAATTTCTGTCTCCTTGTTTTTGTTCTTTTTCCTATCTTACTCTACTCCATAGATATGCTGTATAATCTTTGATCTGTAATTAAAATTCGATTCATACTGGTTTTTATTGTAAATACGTTGATACATAAATACAATGTCGCATTCATTTGACTTCGTCGTTCTAACTAACTAAACATGCGATTCGTCATTAACGTTTTCACTTTACTTATTCTTTATACATTCAGACCAAATTCGATTTAATTGCAGGCAACTTTCTATCTCCAAATTATCAAACGAATATTTAGTGTATCTTCTGCGCAGCTTTTAATGTAAATATAAAGTATATGCATAAATATCAAGATTTATATATATATAAAGATACTTAAAGATTTAGTAAATATCTAGAAATCTAGTAAATTCTATACTTAAATATCTAGAGTCATATATAAAAATATCTAGAGTTTATATAATATCTAGTTTATATAAAATAAACAGAGCTGTCTTACATTGCTGTGTAAACGTTGAATGTAATTGAGTATTGGACTAAATATATTCTCAAAATTTCCACATGTACCACTATCTCACATAGAATGATGTTGTCACGTGTAATAATAATTTTATAACTTGACACAAATAGAAACACAAATACTCTTCTTATTGGCATCGATCATCAACATATTTCTTGAGGAAAATGTCCACCAAAACTGCAGACAAACAAAAATGCGAGTCAGGTAATAAGAAAATAATATGTCGGAAAGACGTGTGATACATGTGGAGTAATCTGTTTAATATTAATTGGTTTAATGTTAGTTACGGAAGTGCAGTCGGTGCCATCGAGCTCCCTGAGTTTGGAATGCACGATAAAACCCAGCGACGAATTTCTTCAAGTTTACAAATTATCATGCACATTTAGTACAAATAAAAGTACTCTTAGTAACAAGGAAATCAAGACAATAGAAACAAAGATGGACAAATTATATAATAAGGTTACCAACTCGAAAAACGCAACATTTAATGATATTATAACTCTTGCATATTGTTACCAAAATTTATGTCATGGTTACATTAAATCAAATCAAAAAGGGGAGCTACGTATAGGAAAAACTTATATTTTGCGTTGTTTGAATTTGGTGAAAGGTAAAGAGCTGGATCCCAAATCTATTTTGATAGCTCTAAAAGGCCATTTCCAGTTAGGCCTTATTTATTTTAAGCAGAAGGAAGCAGGAAAAGCTCTACAAATATGTAATAAATCTATAGGATTATATTTGACATATACAGACGATAAGGAAAAATACGGTAATCCTATTAATTTTGGAAATATTATCATGAAGTCATCGGTAGATAATTATTACTTGCTAAATATAATATACAAAGAGATTTTAAAATTAATAGTGGTCTCAGATATAAATATAACTGATCACAACTGGATAGCATACAATCATTTGCTTTTAGCAGCTAAATTGAATACATTACATGAAACAAGAAAACATCTTCTGTGGAGTAAATCAGCATTGAAAATAAGCATTTATTTAGTACGGAACGACCGTTTCGCAGAAGCAAAAAGTCATATTATTACTGCAAATTATGTGAAAAATAAATTTCTTTATAAAATGGATCATATTATGAAGGAACAGGAAATTTCCTCAAAAGAACTGAAGCTCAGTAAATTGGACATAGAATATGATGTGTTATTTATTAAGTCGTGGCTAAAATATGTGATTAAACTTTTGCGTAGGTCGGTAGAACGATTGCTACGATTAGAAAAAGGCGAAAAATTTGAAATTGATAACTTAAATTCAGGGCATTCAAAAAAATTAGAGGTTGATATATCACAGAGATTATTATTCTTCAATGATATAGATACAGAAATTCCATTCACGAGTATAACTACATCCCTACCGGTTAAATACATTTTACGTTATAACGATGCATACAAAATATTTACCAATATCCTATGGAATGTTTCCATTATGAGACATTTACTTCATAAAAGCGGAGATATTGAAGCATACGGACATCTTATATTAGACGTTTGCGAAGCGTACAAATATATGGTACTCTATGAGAAGGACATAACTAATCGGAGCTTACTACAAAAGGTAATTGTAGATCTTTTATCGGAAGATATTATAAACAAACTTTTGAGAACGCGTGCTCCTGGCACATACTATAGTATACAGTTACACCTTGCGATTTCTTATTCAAATTTAATAGAAGTAAATCTTGAAAATTTAGACAAAATTCATCCACTATACATGCCACAAAGAGATAATGCAATTATGTTTGAAATTGGATGGTTAGTTAAGAATGCCTTGAGGCATTTGAAAATGGCCTTTTTTCAAAAGATAATTATATCAGAGGATTCTCATAATAAGCCAAATTGATTATTAGTTTCACATTGATAGAAACATATGCAATGATGTTCATCGCCGTAATATTGAAAGTAAAGAAAAAATGAGATTATCAATGTTTATATATAATATTTAGTTTAATAAAAGTGTTTTTTAATGGGAAATACAATATTACATGTTTATTTGTGCGTTTATATTGAACTGATTAATATTATGTGATAAGTTAGAAAATTTTACAAGAAAGAATGATATGATTTTATAAGGTAACTAAAAATATCTAGAGATCGTCCTGGATGTTTTCAAATTGTCCTTGGAAATTTTGCATTTTAAATATCTTCTGGATAATTCAGAGATATTTTTTGTTATTTAAATATTTACTTGATTATAAACAAAGACAAAAAATATTTAAATACTGCGCGTCAGTAATTCAATTCTGTTGTTATAAAAATTTCACTAGAATAATATGTAATATAAAATACATATAAGGACTCAAAATGTATATGTTTCTAATCAACCAGTTTATTAAACTAAACCTCGGTAAATACAATCTATATACAGGGACTGCTGTATACTGTATCTTAAACTTGTTTAAAAATTACTATAACAAATAATTTATTTTATAAATAAATAATTTAAACCTGAAAGTTGAACCAAGTTCATATCAACTTTGTTAAAAATCATGTCTTTTAAGTTCTAAAAAATGTGTTCCCATATATGGACATAATATTCATAACAAAGATTAAAATATATATATAAATAAAATTAGATAATAAATAGGTTATAACATTATGTTAGTATGTTTTCTCCACTTTCTTACATCTCTCTTTTATCTATGCAATTTTCTTCTCTTCGTTTATTCTTCTTTTTCTTCCTTCTCTACTTCATAAATACGTTGTACAGTTTTTGATCTGTAACTAAAATTCAATTCATATTGACTTTATTTGTTGATACGTTAATGTACAATGTCGCATTCTAGTCATTTGACTTGGTCGTTTTAATTGAGCAGGCGGTTCTTCATTAGTGTTTCAAGTTTGAATATTTCTTTTACGTTCAGACCAAATCCGATTCCACTGTAGACAACTTTCTATTTTCAAATAACGAAATAAATATTTAGTGTATCTTCCGCGCGGCTTTTCATGTGAACGTAGATTATAACAAGAAAGAGACTTGTCCTATGTTGCTGTGTAAACGTTGAATGTAATTGAGTATCAGACTAAATTCTCACAATTGCCACACTTACAACTGTGTCACATCGAATAATGTCGCCACGTGTAACAATAATTTCATAACTTGACACAGACACAAGTACTCTTCTTATTAGCAATTATCAAGATATTCTTTGAGGAAAATGTTCACCAAAATCGCAGACAAACCAAAATGCGAGTCAGGTAATAAGAAAATAATATGTCGGAAAGTCGCGTGATATATACGGAATAATCTTTTTAATATTAATTGGTTTAATGTTAGTTACGGCAGCACAGTCGGGAAAGAGCTCCCTGAGTTTGGAATACACGATAAAACCCAGCGACAAATTTCTTCATGTTTTCGAATTATCAAACACATTTAGTACAAACACAAGCACTCTTCGTGACAAGGAAATCAAGACAATAGTAACAAAGATGGATAAATTATATAATGAAGTCACCAAGTCGAAAAACGCAACATTAAATGATATCATAACTCTTGCATACAGTTACCAAAATTTATGTCATGGTTACATTAAGTCAAATCAGAAAGAAGGACTACGTATAGGAAAAACTTATATTTTGCGTTGTTTAAATTTGGTGAAAGGTAAAGAGCTGGATCCCAAATCTATTTTGATAGCTCTAAAAGGCCATTTCCAGTTAGGTTATATTTATTTTACGCAAAAGAAGTCAGAAAAAGCTCTACAAACATGTAATAAAGCTATAGAATTATATTTGACATATACAGACGATAAAGAAAAGTACGGTAATCCTATTAATTTTGAAAATATTATCACTAAGCTATCGGTAGATGGCTATTACTTGATAAATGGAATATATAGAGAAATTTTAAAATTAATACTGGAGTCATATTTAAATATAGATGATCACTACTTTATAGTATACTCTCATTTGCTTTTAGCAGTTGATTTAAATACGTTACAAGAAACAGGAAAACATCATATGTGGATTCAATCAGCAATGAAAATATGTGTTTATTTAGTAAAACACGACCGTTTCGTAGAAGCCAGGAACCATATTATTACTGCAGTTTATGTGAAAAACATATTTCTTCATGAAATGCCTTGTAATATGAAAGAGCAGGCAATTTTCTCAAAAAAACTGAACTGGAATAAATTGGACTTAAAATTGAAAATATTACTTATTATACCGCCGATAAGATACGAGATTAAGGTTTTGCGTAGATCGGTGGAACGATTGCTGCGATTAGAAAAAGGCGAAGAATTTGAGATTGATAACTTAAATTCAGGACATCCAACAAAATTGGAGGGAGATATATCACAGAGGTTATTACTATTCAATGATATAGATATAGAAATTGCATTCACGCATATAAATCCATCCCTACCGGTTAAATACATTTCACATTATAACGATGCATATAAAATATTTACCAATATCCTGTGGAATGTTTCCATTGCGAGGATTTTTTTTTATACATGCAGGAATGTAAGGGAATACGGAAAACTCATATTAGACACTTACGAAGCATACAAATATATGGCATTCTATGTGAAAGACGTAACTAATCGGAGCTTACTACAAAATATGATGGTAAATCTTTTATCGGACGGTGTAGAAAACAAAGATATATTAAAGCATGAACCTGTTCTGTACTCTAATATTAAATTACACCTAGCGATTTCTTATTCATATTTAATAGATGTACAACTTGAAAATTTGGACGCAATTCATCCATTATACATGCCACAAAGACATAATGCAATTGAGCTTGAAATTGAATGTCTTGTAAAGGATGCTATGAAGAGTTTAGAAATGAAAATCGCCATGTCAAAAGATGATTACACTCACATGATGAGCCAAATTGATTATTAGTTCCACATGGATAGAAACATATGCAACGAAGTTCATCGCCGTTATATTGAAAATAAAGAAAATATGAGATTATTAATGTTTATAACATTTAGTTTAATGAAAGAGATTTTTAATAGAAAATACAATATTACAACATTTTTATTTGTGCGTATATTGAACTAATTAATATTATGTGATAAGTTGGTAAATTTTACAAAAAGGTTTGATATGATTATATAAGATAACTCAAAATATCTAGAGATCATCCTGGATGTTTTCAAAATGTCTTTGGGAATTTTACATTCTAAAAATCTTCTGGACAATTCAGAGATATCTTTTGCTATTTAAATATTTACTTGATTATAAACAAAAATAAGAAATATTTAAATAGAATTACTGCATGTCAGTAAGTCAATTCCGTCATTATAAAAATTTTACAAGAATAATATGTAATATAAGAACATAAAATGTATATGTTTCTAATCAACAAGTTTATTAAAATAAGCTCCCGTAAATACTTACTATACACATGGACGGCTGTATGTTGTATTTTAAACTTGTTTAACTTATTATATCAAATAATTTAATTTTAGAATAATTTATTTGAATCTGGGAGTTAAACCAAGTTCATAACAAGTTTGTTACATATTATGCCATTTATATATAAGTTCTTAAAAAATATGTTCCTGTATTTTGAGAAAATCTTCATAAAAAAAATTGAAAATATAAATGTAAATAAAATTAAATAATAAATAGGTTATAACATTATGTTAGTATGTTTTCTCCATTTCCATCTCTCTTTTCTTCTATGCAATTTTCTTCTCCTCGTTTATTCTTCTTTTTCTTCCTGTTCTTCTTCACAGATACGCTGTACAGCTTTTGATCTGTAATTAAAACTCAATTCATGTTGACTTCATTTGTGAATACGTTGATGCACAATATCGCATTCCAGTCATTTAACTTGATCGTTTTACTTGAATCGATGGTTCTTCATTAGTGTTTCAAGTTTGAATATTCCTTTTACGTTCAGACCAAATCCGATTCCACTGTAGGCAACTTTCTATTTTCAAATATCGAAATGAATATTTAGTGTATCTTCCGCGCGCCTTTTCATGTAAACGTAGATTATAACAAGAAAGAGACTTGTCCTATGTTGCTGTGTAAACGCTGAATGTAATTGAGTATCAGACTAAACATATTCTCACAATTGCCACACTTACCACTGTGTCACATCGTATAGTGTCACCACGTGTAACAATAATTTCATAACTTGACACAAATAGAGACACGAACACTATTCTTATTAGCATTGATTATTAACATATTCCTTGAGGAAGATGTCCACCGAAACCGCTGATGAACCAAAATGCGAGTCAGGTAATAAGAAAATAATATATTGGAAAGTCGCGTGATATATACGGAATCATCTTTTTAATATTAATTGGTTTAATGTTGGTTACGGCAGCACAGTCGGTAGAGAGCTCCGTGAGTTCGGAATACACGATAAAACCCAGCGACGAATTTTTTCATGTTTTCAAATTATCATATAAATTTAATATGAACAAAAGTACTCTTAGTGACAAGGAAATCAAGACAATAGAAGCACAGGTGGACAAATTATATAATGAGGTCACTAACTCGGAAAACGCAACATTAAATGATATCGTAACTCTTGCATACAGTTACCAAAATATATGTCATGGTTACATTAAGTCAAATCAGAAAAAGGAATTACTTATAGGAAGAACTTATATTTTGCGTTGTTTGAATTTGGTGAAAAGTAAGGAGCTGGATTCCAAATTTATTATAATAGCTCTGGAAGGCCATTACCAGTTAGGTTTTATTTATTTTAAGCAAAAGAAGTCAGGAAAAGCTCTACAAACATGTAACAAAGCTATAGAATTATATTTAACATATACAGACGATAAGAAAAAGTATGGTAATCCTATTCATTTTAAAAATATTAGCATTCAGCCATCGATAGATGGATATTACATGCTAAATAGAATACATATAGAGATTTTAAAATTAATAACGGAGGCAGATATAGATATGGATGTTCACACACGGATAGTATACCGTCATTTGGATTTAGCAGCTAATTTGAATATATTACAAGAAACAAGAAAACATATTTCGTGGGTTTATTCAGCATTAAAAGTATTCTATTATTTAATAAAGTACGACCGTTTTGCAGAAGCTAGAAACCATATTATTACTGCAATTTATGTGAAAAACATATTTTTAGATATATTATTTCGTAATACAAATAAACAGATACTTTCCTTACAAAAGCTGAATGAATTGTACATAAATCTTGATATTATTTTTAATGCAGCGTGTAAAAAATATTGGGTTAGGCTTTTACGTAGGTCGGTAGAACGATTGCTACGATTAGAAAAAGGCGAAGAAATTGAGTTCGATGACTTAAATTCAGGACATCCAACAAAATTGGAGGGAGATATATCACAAAGGTTATTACTATTCAATGATATAGATACAGAAATTTCATTCGAGTGTGTATATCCATTCTTACCGGTTAAATATATTTTACATTATAACGATGCATACAAAATATTTATCAATTTCCTGAGGAGTTTTTCTATTTTAAAGTTTTCTATTGATAAAAAGAAGGAAGAAATACTAACATACGGACAACTTATATTAGACTCTTTCGAAATGTACAAATATATGGCATTCTATGAGAAGGACATAACTAATCGGAGCTTACTACAAAATATGATTATACCTCTTTTATCGAAAGCTCTAGACAAAAAAGTTTTATTACAGTATGCTCCTGCCTTCTTCTATAAAATACAGTTACACTTAGCGATTTCTTATTCACATTTAATAGATATAAAACTTGAAAATTTGGATGCAATTCATCCACTATACATGCCACAAAGATATAATGCAATTGAGCTTGAAATTGAATGCCTAGTAAAGTATGTCTTTAATTGTTTAGAAGCACTTATCGTTCTACAAAAGATTATGCCAGTGGATTCTCATAATAAGTCAAATTCTTCATTAGTTCCACATTAGAAACATATACAATGATATTCGTCGCCATGATATTGAAAATAAAGAAAAAATGAGATTATTAATGTTTATAATATTTAAAACAGTTTTTTAATAAAAAATATAATATTACAACATGTTTATTTGTGCGTATATTGAACTGATTAATATTATGTGATAAGTTGGTAAATTAAAAAAAAAAAAATTTATATGATTTTATAAGATAACTCAAAATATCTAGAGATCGTCTTGAATGTTTTCAAAATGTCCCTGAAAATTTTGCATTTTAAATATCTTCTAGACAATTCAGAGATATCTTTTGTTATTTAAATATTTGCTTGATTGTAAACAAAAATAAGAAATATTTAAATAGAATTATTGCAAGTTAATAAGTCAATTCCGTCCTTATAAAAGTTTTATATGAGTAATATGTAATATAGAATATAAAGACTTAAAATTTATATGTTTCTAATCAACAAGTTTATTAAAATAAGCTCCCGTAAATACTTTCTATACACATGGACTGCTGTATACTGTATTTTAAACTTATTTAACTTATATCAAATAATTTATTCTTAGAATAATTTATTTGAATCTGGGAGTTAAATCGAGTTAACTTGTTTGTTAAAATTTATGCTTTTTATACATAAGTTCTCATATTTCGAAAAATTGTTTATAGAAAAAAAATTGAAAATATAATTGTAAATAAAATAAAATAGTAAATAGATTAACATTATGTTAGTATGTTTTCTTCATTTCTATCTCTCTTTTTTTCTATGTAATTTTCGTTTCTTTGTTTATTCTTCTTCTCTTTTCTAATAAAAAGTAGGACTTTGATAGATATAAAACTTGAAAATTTTTAGAAAGTTTATCCGTCATATATGTCACAAAGACATGATGCAATTATATTTGAAATTGGAAACCTGTTAGCGAATGCTTCAATGAATTAGAAAATATATGTATGTATGTATGTATGTATGTATGTATGTATGTATGTATGTATGTATGTATATATATATATATATATATATATATATATATATATATATATATATATATATATATATATATATATTTATATATATGTATTTGTAGATAATTACAATAGATTATGAATTTTACAAGTTCTTCACGAGTTCCACATTGATAGAAGTATACACAATTATATATAATTATAATTATTTTTATTACATATATTTTAATATAATATTTTTATGTTTATTAATATTTTTTAGGGCTACTCGTTCTAAACTAATAACAAATCGGTAAGAACGTAAATTTTAATAATTTGTATTTATAAACTTTTATGTTATTTGTAAGAACAAATAAAATTGTAAACACATAGAAAAAAAATATATATAATATTAAAGATATAAGTGTGAATAGAAAAACACGCAATAGTCAGTATTTTCTCCTTTGTTTAGCTCCTTTTTATAATTTTCGTCTGCTTATTTGTTCTATTTTTCTGTCTCTCCTTTTGCTCCGAACAAATGAATTGTACAGATTTTAATCTATAATTATATTTCGATTTCTATTTATTCTGCTTATGATTGCAGGAAACATTAGTACGCAATTTCGCATTCGAGTCATTTTAACTATCTGGGTCAGAAGTTGTATTTTGGTGTTTGATTATTTCTTTTGTATTCGGAGCAAATCCGGCTCAACACTGAATCAGGAAACCTTCTATTTTCAAATAGCCAAGCGTAAATAGTCAGGATATATATCGCGCAATCTAAATTACAACAGTAAATAGACCGATCTTAAGTTGCCGTTTAAATCTGATCAGATATGAGGCTGACTAATAAATAAACACATTCTCGGATATTCCACACTTATCACTAACACACGTGAAGTAACATTATTAACAATTTTGTAACTTGATGCAAATAGTAGATTCTTTTGATTGATATCGATCATCAGCATATTCCTTAAAGATGCTCACCAAAGCCACAAGTAAACCAGAATGCGAGTCAGGTAATAGAAAAATAATATGTTTAGAAGTCACGCTACATGTGCCAATAATCTTTTAATATTGTTTTGTGTGTTTAATATTAGCTATGAAAGCGGAATTGGTCGAGAACCCTGAGAATTTCGAAAATACAGAGATAAACCCCAGCAAGGAATTTTTTTCATTGTGCAAGCTATCATATACATTTTCCAGAGAGGGAAAAACATTTGACAAGAAGCAAGCCAGAACACTAGAAACGAAGATGCATAAATTGTACTATAAGGTATTGAACTCAGGAAATGCAGAAATAGATAATATTGTAACTCTTGCACAAATGTACTATAATGTAAGTGAAGTTTATGTTGAATCAAATGGCAAAGAGAAACAACAAATAGCTACGAACAGTATTCTACGTTCTTTAAATTTGATAAAAGATAAAGAGCTGAATCGCAAGACTATCTTACTGGCTTTAGACGTATATAATCTTTTAGGTTATATTTATCATAAACAGAAGAAAACAGAGAAAGCTATACAAGCGTTTGATAAAGTTGTGGAATTATATTTGATGTATATAAAAGGGAAGGACAAATATGGTACTCCTCTCGATCTTGAAAACATTTTTTTTAAGTCACTTGAAAAACTAAATAGTTATGTGAAACTAGCAAAAACATATTTAGCTGTTTTACGTACCTTAGTAAGAATGCATTCTACTATAGGGACGATGAATAAATTCATTATATGCAGTCATATGCTTTTAGCTGCTGAATTCAATAAATCATTAACAGTTGAAGAATATATTAATTGGATGAAAACAGCAATGTTATTATCTGATCTTTTCTTAATGTCCAGGCGCTTCACAGAAGCTAGAAATCATCTTATTGTTGCAAGTTTTGTGAAGAGACATTTTATCGATGTGAAATATTATAATATCTGCCAGAAGCTTGAATTATCCTTGGAAGAACCTGTCTCGCGTGAACAGCATATAATCGCGTCTACATTGGTTGCGGTACATTGGGTTAAGTATGGAATTGCGCTTTTGGATACGTCCGCGACACAGTTGCAATTGTTGGAAAAAAACCCTACATATGAGAGAAGCTCCTTAGAATCGAAATATCCAACGAAATCTCAGAAGCATGCACCGCAGAAATTACTATTACTTACCGAAATACAAGAAGAGTTTTCAATTACAGATGAGTACGCGCCCTTCAAGGATAAATATCTCTCAGACTATAATGCTGCTAAAGAAGTGTTCTTATACGTTATAAAGATACTTAGCGATATGACTGCGCATTATTGCCTTAGTAAGGACATGAAGCTGTGTGCGACGATTGCTTTATGCACTTCTAATGCATACAAATATATGGCATGCTATGAACAGGACTTAACTAGCCAGGACATACTACAAAGTCGACGAAGAGACATTTTATTGGAAGCTATAAACATAATATTTAGTAATAATAATAATAGTAATGATAATAATAATAATAATCGTAACGAATTGAGACATTTACGGCTTCAACTGGCAATTGCATATTCTTCTCTGATAAACATAAAATTGGAAAATTTGGAAACAATTAATGTACAGAATACGGAACAAAGATATAACATAATTATTGATGAAATTAATGATCTAGTGAAGGCAGGCTTAGTGAATTTACAAATATATATGTGCCATGAATAAGTAGTTACAATAGATAAATTTAAATTTAGTGGTAAGCCAATTTCTTTATATTTTTCGCTGTTACGTAACAATTGAGGAAATAGAAAATAAGATTATCATACATATAAAATTAAATTGTAGAAGAAGAAATGTTTGCAAAAGTAGTTGAATATTTTTTGCTCATCTTATTTGGGTGTATATTGAATATATCAAAATTACATTAGTACTTAAAGTTTAAAGAAATGTTTTTACAAGATATTGTCCTTAAATGTTTTATATTTCTACTTATTTCTACTTATTTAATACTTTTTACAGACATTTGAAAGTCTCACTTCAAAATTTTGTGACTTTTTCTGTGTCAAATAATTTATTCCTGAAATAGTTTACTTCAAATTTGTTACAGAATACTTATGAAATTATTAAAAAGATATGCTTTTGTAGTTCGATCAAAATTTTATAAACATTTAAAAGATATTTTAAATATGTATATACTATCGTGTTTTTCTTTTAGATAAGAATATTGCAGAACTAATGTATATATATATATATATATGTAATCATTGATAGGAATCTGTCATACATTAAAATATACATTAAAGACTATTCAAGATTTCTTCGTATTGCTTCGATTTTCTCAAATCTATTCTTTTTAATTTGCTGTTATAACTATTAATTAGCGTTTTGTTCGCATTATTTGCTTCTTTTGTAAAAAATTTGAAATTGTGAGTATATAAAAAGAAAACATAAAAATATAAATAAATAGTATACGCATAATAGATTACTTTTTGTAATTTTCGATTACACATTTGTTTTAGTTATCTCCTTTTTGCATCATTCGCATACACTGTTCAACTTTTAATTTGTATTTGAAGTTCAAATTTAATTTAGTTTGACATTATTTGCCGATAACATTAATGTACGATTTTTATTCAAATAATTGGATTATGTCATTTTAACACAAATTTTGTCGATAGTTGTTCCTTGGTGTGTATAGTTTTCCTTTTCCCTTTGTATTCAGAACAAGTCCTATTGTATGACAAATCAGGCAACCTATTTTTAAATAACCAAACGAATATTTAACTCAACTTTCGTGCAACCTGATTGTCGATTAATTAGCTGAAAACGATTCCTTTTTGTATATAATAAATAGACCAGCGTCAGGAGAGACTGCGTTTTATTTTGTATAAAAAAAGTACAAAATCATTTATATATACATAATAATACATAATTAAGATATCTACAAAGATACTTATAAATTTGAAACTATCAGCCACGCGGCGATACTTTATCCTCATCTTGATATTCCTTGCTGTTGCTATAGTTGCGAGAAAAATGCGTCAGGCGACGAAACGTTCCGTAAAATTTATTATTTTTATTCATTTTGCCATTATTGTGTCTGTTACTGCAATTTATAACAATCGTGATCGTGCATATTCGAGTCTAATTTGTACTCTTTTAGAAATCTTTCTCCTCTTATTAAACGAGCGTGACGACAAAAGAATTGCAAGATATAATTTGCGCTTTCAGTTACTTGCAAGTATTGTATTTATTGTACCACGATGTAAAGATAGTAATAAGTTTCTTTCTCTTTTTCCCACTTTCTTCAATTCTGCTGTCACACATATGATTTATTTATTAAAATTATAACAGAATTCCCGAAGGAGAGAAATTGTCTGCGCACGACCACGAGTTTTGTTTCTTCTTTTACAGCTCGAAGTAGCGTTGTTTACAGGACAGAATTAATTACAGAGTCGAGAAGGAATCGTCGATAGAACCAGTGCCGTCGGAGTTGCTCTCGGCGGCGTCCACGAAGGCCGTCGAGAGATCGCCGGCCAGTTTGCTGACGGATCGAGAGGTCACGTCATACATGAAGATCTCCTTGTCACCCTGACCGCCGTTTCTTGGCCTGAAACAGCACATTGAGTGAATTCAAGTGAAAGCGCGGAGCGTGAATTCCTCAACTTTCGAGTGGATTCGCGAGGCAGACCAGCCGCCAATGATAATGCACGACGAGAGGATCGCGAAGCTATCGTGGCAAATGGCACGATACATGAACAAGAAAGGCCAAAATTGCGTATTACTTAATTCAGATCATGAATTATTAATTAAAATTTTTTTACAAATTTATATGAGATATTAAAAAATTTCTTACAATTATTTGTAACTTGGTTAATTTTTATTGAAAGAACAATGTGACATATTTAAATATGTCTAAATGTTTACTAAATTTAATTAAATAGAAGATTTGCTATCATATACACACTTCTTTTTAAGTGATATGCCCGGCAAAGTTTCATGGTAAATTAAATTCCTCCTAGTTCACTTACACTATTGTATTTTTCCTTAATTTACAGCAAATACGAATGAAAATTAGATATATTTTATATTTCTTTCAAAATTCTTCAAAGGAAATAGTAACCCAGGCAGCATAATCCGCTAAAAGTTGTTTTAAAGACGTCTAAAAAAGACGTTCTATTTATTTTAAACGTCTTTTGCACGTCTTCAAGACATTTTGATAATTTGTACTGTCTGGGAAGAAAGAGAAAAGAAGTCTAAGGATATGTTCGTTAAGAAAGTAGAAGAGGAACCCGTCCTGATTACGCAGTCATTTTCAATCAATTTGAAATCACTGAGGAATTTAAAGATATGAGGATGAAGGACCTTCTTAGACACAAGGAGATGCGACGTAAGAATTTTCTTAGAAAGCCGCGTTAGAAAATCAGCAATGATTGTGCAACAGTCGCTACCGGCAGCGGCACTACTCCACTTGATAAAAAGCTCATGTAACCGGTCCAGCCGAGACTCTGAGTGTGCCTGAAGCGCTAAATGGAAACGAGGAATTACACAGCAGACTTGTTACAGCGTATTTGTAACGTTCATTACGCGTGCGCCTGTAATCAAGTGCACTCACATGGTCACCAGGAGCACGACCGACTGTCGCTCCGGCTCGGTGCGGCTCTCCTGGTCGAGCCATTTCTTGTAGTTCTCCGCGGTGGGCTTCTTCACGAGCTGCTTGAGGGTGTCGCCGGCGAGGAACCTGACCGGCTGCGCGTCGCTGGCCCTCTTGCCCTGCCGACTCGGCGACTCGATCTCCCTCTCCTCGGGAAAGTCGTAGTCGACGGGTGCCAGCACCACGACGCTCGAGATCCTACGGCCGTTGAGCTCCGGCACGTCCGGGATTGGGAATGACGCGCCGCTCACTTTGAGCGGCAGGTAACGATTGTACTGGGCGCTGTCGCGCGCTCCCACGGACACCGGTTCGAGTCGGGTCGCGTCGTCCCGTATGTGCTGCTCTGCCACGGCCCGGCCTTGCTCCGTATTCGGATCGAAGCGTACTACTTTCATCTCCACGCCGCCGGGCCGCAAGGTGGCTTGCTCGAACTTGGTCGAGACGGTGGTCTCGGCGGCTATCGCCTTCTTCGGCGCGACATTCTCCTGCTGAGTCGTCGTCGTTGTCGTCGTCGTTGTCGTAGTCTTCGGTCGCTTGACGATCGCCGGCACGGGCTCGCTGCCGGCGGCAATGGCAGAACCGCCTCCGGCGCCGTAGAAATTCGCCAAGGCTTCCGGTGGCAGTTTCTCGATCGGAATGTCGCCGATTTTGTCGTAGTCGAGGATCTGAATGTCGGCGTTGCCCAAAATCCCGGAGCTTAGTAGTTGCTCCCTGATGTCGTCGGGTACTTCGTCTGGCAAGTTGGCGATGTTCTCTTGGATCTTGGCCACCTTCTTCGGGGAGAGTGTCGTGGTGGTCGGCGTCTCGGTAGTGGTGGTAGTGGTAGTTGTGGTCGTTGTCGTCGGCGTCGATGTCGTAGTCGGCAGGAAAGTTCTCACGCTCGACGGTGAGTTGAACTCCTCAGAAGGACTCACCGGCGTTGCGAAGATCTTCTGCCCGGAATTCGCGTTGTTCTGATACAATGGCCGACCTCCCCATATCGATTGCTGCTGAGGTGAAGCTGTGTGAGGCCGTTGTTGCGGTGGCGGGAGGGTCTGCGAGAGAAAACTCTGCTGCGCTTGATAAGACTGATGCTTTGTGTTCAGTTGTAGCTGCTGCTGCTGCTGCTGCTGTTGCTGTTGTTGCTGTTGCTGCTGCTGCTGCTGGTGCAGAGTGTCAGCGGAGGCAAAATGACTTGGCGGCGCCCTGGAGAGTTGTTGAGAATTGTGAAGAGTGTTGGGTGGCTGCGCGGAGACGTACTGGCTTTGAGAAATTTCAGGGAACGTGGTTGGCTGTACCAATGTGGGGTTCGGCGGGAAGGGACCGGGATGAAGAGGATTCTCCCTAATCGAATAATGTTGCTCCAGTTTCGGGACAGCCTTGAAGATTTCACCTTCCGGTTGTTGCGGCGCCAACTGCGATTGCAGCTGCGCCTGATTATACTTAAGCTGCGCGCGATAACGCTGCTCCTGAAGAAGTTTCTGCTCTTGTTCCTGCTTCCGCCTGCGTTGCTCCTGTAAACGCTGCTGCTCCTGCAGCCGTTGGTGCTCCTGCAGCCGCTGCTGTTCCTGCAGACGACGCTGTTCTTGCAGCCGCTGCTGTTCCTGCAATCGTTGCTGCTCCTGCAAGCGCTGTTGTTCCTGCAATCGTTGCTGCTCTTGTAAGCGTTGTTGTTCCTGCAAACGTTGCTGCTCTTGAAGCCTCTGATGCTCCTGTTGTCTCTGCTGCTCGACCAATCTCTGTTGTTCGATCTGTCTCTGCTGTTCCAGCAATCGTTGGTGCTCCTGAAGCCGCTGATGCTCTCGTTGCTTCAACAGCTCCTGCTGCCTTCGTTGCTCGTGATACCGTTGTTTCTCCTGCTCCTGTTGCTTGAACGGCGGCAGTGATTGCGGCGGCGGTGGTAGTTCCGCGTTGAAGTTGTTCGGTCTGACGGGCAACGGCTGCTGCGGTGGTTCCGCGAAGTTGCCGAGTCTGACGGGCAACGGTTGCTGTTGCGACGGTTCCGTGTTGAAGTTACTCTGCGGCAACGGTAACGGCTGATTCTGCAGATGCACGCTCTGATGCGACACCGAGAGAGTAGGTGGGAATCCCGGCTGCTGAGGGTGATTGATGCTGACGCGATGCGGCGGGCCGAAGTTGCTGAACGGCGCACGTTGTTGCACCTCCGGCAGACCTTGGATCGTTATCGGGTGCCGCTGCAGTGGTCTCGCGGTTGGAGGTGGCGGCGGCGGCAGCGGCGGGTTCCTCAGTAGTGGCTGCTGAGGCGGAAACGCCTGATGCTGTTGCAGCGATTGCTGTTGCTGCTGATGTAGAAAGTTCGGCAACGGCTGCTGCTGCGAAGCGAAAGCCGAGTTGACGATGCGCTGTTGCGGAAACGCGGGCGGCACTCGCGCAGGATGCACCGGCTGCAGCGGCTGGTACGGGCCGTGCTGTCTCTTCGGCGCTCCCGGCGACGCGGTCGGTTTGCTGCGCTGGACAACCGGCGCTTCAAGATCGCTGCGCTTGTTGTGACTGTTGGGCGGTAACTGGTCGGTGCCGAAGGTCACGCGAATGCCACTGCTGCCGGAATGGTACACCTCGCTCTCGGGTCTGATGATGGCGCGTAGGGTCGTCGACGGCTCCGGCGGCGCTGGAGTCGCCGTATACGTAGGTTCCTCCGGGTGCGGCGACGCCGAGTCGTCCGGTTTGATCACCTCGTGATCCTCCACCGGCGTTAGCGCCGGAATCGGCGGATCGTAGACCACTCGAGTCTTGTCGCCATAGCCTTTCTTCTTCTCGTACTTCACGTAGAACACTTGAATCGGTTCCTTGGTCGGCCGAGGGGGAGCCGTCGGCGGCACAGGAGTCGGCAGGGACTCATTGGACTCCTTGATGATGATTTCGATGATCGGCTCGGGCTCCGTGGGATAGTAGCTCAGCGCGGTCTCCTCGTACAGATCGTCGCTCTTCGGACTCGCCAAGGGGTTGTACAGAGGATCGCGCTGAGAGTACTGTACTATCGGCTCCATCTGCACCGCGTACGGCGGCAGACGGCCGCCCTTTCGCAGGTGGAAGGCGAGCTGCTGCCGCTTGTCGCGGCCCTTCGACGACGACGACGAGCTCTCCTCTTTGGCGAAGGTTGCGCCGACGAGGAGCGTCGCCGTCAGAAGTATCTGCAAATGAAGACAAGTCGGCGGATTGGCACAGAGCTCATTTTTGCGTCATGACGGCGGCGGCAACTCGATTGTATCACTAAACAAAACTACAATATTCGTCTACGGAGATCTCAAAAATTTGATGCAGACGTTACAACACAAAATCTGTCGGATTCGGTGCCCCAAGTTGAATTTCCATAAAGTAGCGTGTGTGTCCGTGTTGTTGAACGTGGCCTAATCGATTGTTGACGTCACCGTCTCAATACCTAGTAGCCTAGTAGCCGAAAATGCAAATTCGCGCAAGAAAGGGGATTTAACATGCTCTGATAACCGAGTAACCCGTTTAATAACCAGAAAACGCATCCGAGGCCTCAACGGGCCGATCAATTGGTATGCTAGCGAGAAGTCGAGGAACAGTTAGCCTGATAAGCGATTCCCAGTTGTGATCGCGCTCTCAATATGGCGAGGCCGACCTGAAGCGCATCGGACGTTTCTCGAGCTGAAATCGTCCGAGTCCCAAACTTTGATTAGTGGGAGATTGAGGATCTCTGTGTGTTTTACTGACGCAATTCCAAAAGATGTTAAACAACATACTGTTGGATTTCTTTTGCATAAAATAGTTAATCAGACAATAGTATTAAAATTTTAATTAATTAAATCAGTACTTCCTATTTTAATATACACTCAGAGAAAAAACGCGGTGATGACAACTAAAGTGATAACGATACGAATTTTGTATGTAGTATTAATGTGTGTAGTTCAAAAAGCTATTTTACAGTTATTGCAACTAAACCTTTAGTTGTAATATAACTACAAAATAATTTATTGACCTATATACATTGTAATTCTAATTTTATACAAATTGTATATAGAAACTTGTATAGTTGTCACTTTATAATTATCCTGTTTTTCTCTGAGTTATAGAATAAAACATCCAATCTCATTGATTCTCCTAGTCATTCTCTTAGTCATCGGCACACTAAGAAGCCTAGTTTTTCTTGCGACCAGTGGCGCTTGTTCGCACAGTTTTAGTTGTAAAGTTCTCTTTTGGAATCATTGAGTGCAGGCAGGAAGAGTTTAACTGGTCGCAAAAGAAGCCAGATTTTTTTTCAATCACTAAGGAGATGTCAGTAATTGGATGTTTTATCCTACACACACATGATTGTCAACGTATATACTATACTCTTGAAAATTAGTCGCACTTTCATAATCAAAGTGACAAAGTATTCCGCGACACACTGTCGCGATTATACGAGAATTCTCAGGGATACATCGCCGCGTGATAGAGCACACTTCTGAAATTTTGAAGGAAAAAGTGGGTGAAGTCGGTAGAAAGAGACAATCAAAGTTTGAGCCTGGCGTTGCGTTTCACCTGGAGAATTCGGTGACTCTCTCGGCTTCGCATGGTTAGCATATTCGAATGAGGCCCCGAGCGCCTCTTTTCACAGCACCTTGAGCGCCTCGAGGCGCCGTGCCAAAGCAGAAAAAGAAGAAGACTTCTCTCAAGGAGGACGTTAGGCCATTAAACGGCCGTCAATCTCCTCGGGGCGATTATCGGCCGTATCGTTGCCGGTCGCGTCTGCCGTTTATTAGTGCACTTTCCCCGCGTGCGCAAGCGCCGATACGCTCGCTGATCGCAAATGATAGAACCGCCAGGGGTATCGCGCCGCCGCGACACGCTTATTACGATGAAAGTACAAGCGCCTTCGTCTGAACGGGTCCCGTCCGCCCTCATCGCCGAACCCGTTATAATTACCAGTTTGGTGAACCGCATGATGTCGTCGCTCCTTGGGAGATCTTTCCCTGGTCTACCCGGAAGAGAGGAGAAAGAGAGTCACACGCGCGTTCACATGCACACACATACACACACGCGCTTCACCGGCCTCCGAGAGTCAGTTAGAGGCGGCTAATTCGCGACATGACACCGCTCGGAGAGGATCGGTCGGTGCCTCCTGGACGATATCGAGCGGAGACTCGCATGGGAACTGAAGACAGATCGGGCCCAGGGGCCCGTTTCTCCCTACTCGATGCCACCACCACACCGGCCGTCGTCGTCAAGAAGCTCCTCTCTAATATCGAAGACGGTGGAGCACCTTTCTCCGCGGGCCCTCGCCATCCTCGTCGTCGGTGTGCTCGTGTCCGGTATACAGGTGGATGCGTGCGTGACTGGGAAAAGACGGGAATCAAAAAGGAAGAATACGAAGAGAAGATGAGATGTCGCGCGCGGCGCGTCTCGACGACTTTCTTCAAATCCGACCGGGCGAGAACCGGAGGGGGCGATTATACTAAGCGGAGTCACTTTTCCGCGACCTCCAAGGCCCATCGAAACCGAAACCCTCCTTCCTTTTCTCGAGGTCGCGCGCCGACCACCATTCGGTGAAAGAGCCGGTGGGTCTTAATGCCATCAGCCCGAGCGATTACTTTCGCTACGAGCTAGCCGACACTTCCTCGATCGTTTCCGATTTGTTCAATGATCCTTGCCCGCAAGAAGAGATCGCCGGCGATCGATTCGGCGATTGTTACGCGAATCGGTTATATCAATGTGGTTAATTAGAATATGCCTTTTAATTGGTCGACAGTTAGTCCCCATAATGGGTAAGGTGCAATTACAGCGGCTAAACGCTAATCGTCATTAGCATTCTAGGCTTTGACTTTCCTACAGGTCTCTTTCGGTATATAATAGCTGCACCCATTTCATATTCATGAACGTGCACTCCTAGACGACGCAGTTGCGTTGCCGCGCGTGAATTTTCTGAAAGCGACGCAGTCTTCATTGATCTCACTGAAGTGCAAGGGCATCAAGTGTTATCAGTCTTCTTTCTTGTATTGTTACTGCATAATTGTGGTAGTTGATTCTTTTATCATGCATATGAGCGTTCACACAAAAATGTATTTTTTGAACTTTTAAAAACTTCTACACTAAGAGAAAAATTATCTTAAAATCAACAAATATTTCCTTCGTGGGTGCCATTAACATATTTACTTAAATCTACATTCTCTTTACTTAAATCAAATATTGTTTATTTAAATCAAGTAAACAATATTTGATTTAAATAAAGAGAATGTAGATTTGAGTAAATATGTTAATGGCACCCACCAAGGAAATATTTGTTGATTTTAAGATAATTTTTCTCTCAGTGTATCTCGATGTATTAGTTCAGATATATCGAATGGTTTTTCTTAAAAACAGTAATCTATCTCTTTCTCTCTCTCACACACACACATATGTACCAAGCACCAATAACAAGACTTTTCAGGAGAAGCATTTGAATATTTATAACTTTGCAACAGAAACGTATAAACTACGGTCTGTATTCTGATGTCTCTTTTATCACTAAAAGTGGCTTATAGTCAACCGGAAGATAAGCCACTTTTAGATGCGTTTTTAACAATAAAAGAGAGTTGAGGGTATAAATAGACGTTTCGTCTGTGTTTAAAAAAAAGTCACTTGAAACAATTGTATCGCTAAGTGTCGTATTTTCACACAATAGCGCATCAAGAAAGTCATTCATAAATTTACTATTTATCAAGCAAAATTACCATATCAATTTCTATATATTTCACTAAATATCATTTGAAATTAAAGCAAAAATATATATACATCGTATATACATATTTGTGTGTGCAATCATGTGTACACAAATATATACAATTTCAAACTCATACACATTGTTTCAAGCAATATATATGTGTCTGTGTGTGAGAAATGTTGTGGAAAGATTTTTTAAATATAATTGGCTGTAAGGAGAAAGATTTCGCGTGAGATACGAATAATATGAGACGTTCCGGTCTACAAGTAGCAGCAGGATTTGTTCCAGCAGGCATGATGTCGAAGCCAAGAGATCTGAGGCAACTCGCTCATTCGCAAGAAATTACAGCAGATTGTATACAAGTCATGTTTGCCGTTGCGAAAGGAATTGCAGATCCAGTGGAGCAGTCGAACGTAAATGACCTGGTAGAGAGTTCTGCCGGTTGCAAAAGTGCTCTGCAAAAGCGATGCAAAGTTCTCATGTTCGCACTTGCGTAACACTTGCCGTCGTTTCAGATTGCGCGCGATCATCAAAGCCGGTGATTCTCTATCGTCTTCCTGACCCTCTTACGATCAGCCTTCGATCACACGGAGAGGAAAAAATCAGGACGTGCCGGGAGGTTGCGCCAGAGGAGGAGGAAGAGCGAGAGAGGACGAGTCGTATAATTTCGAAAGCCGCCGCGGAATCCGAGTCACCCGATCGGACTCTTCTTCTTTTCCTTTCTTTTTCTTATTATCGACATTAATTAATTTCGGCCGGTAGCGATGTCCGGCATTGGCGGCGATACGGACTCTTTGGCGAACATCCAGGCGTCGTCGTCGAGATTCGTCGTCGCGCGTCCTACTTGCTAACTTTCACTTACGTTGGCGTAAGAGGGTCCAAATAGCTGCCGGGAGGCTCAAAGATGATGAATACGTGGGTCCGTCTGGGACGGTCAGTGATCCGCGAGCCAAGGCGATATTTCACGTTGACTTATCGCCATTTCGCCGTGAAACGATATGGACATTACTAGACGTCCTCCATCCGTGCTTAATTTCGCGCGCGGGAACGATTTGTCACTTTTCCGCGGCACAAGTGCGAGGATACCAGCAACCATGATGTCTCCTCATGCATTTGGACTATTTGTAACCCCGTTCATTTGATCCTCGTGTTTCGAGGTAGCCTCGACAGGAAGATGACAAATACATTGTGTTATAGAGTCATCCAACTTTCTTTCGGTTGCAAAATTGATCTCTTCAGCCCTATCATTCAGTAATTCGACAGTTAAATTGCAAATTTCAAGTTTCTCTTTAAAGGTTTGCATATACTTGAGACCGAACGTCGCCGTTTAATTCCGCATCATTCGTTCTTCCTGTTTCTTTTAAATATTTCATAAGTTTAAATATCCACAAATCTATCACGTGTTTATCATAAGCATCAAGTTTATTCAAGATACATTCTGGATCCTAGCAACCCGAGAAAAAATTATTATATGTGATTATATAAAATTATATTTGAATTTTTGCTCCTATATGGTCACAATTGTAATCATACATGTCCAAACAGGAAGAAATGACGCTAAATGGCTATAGTTATGCAAGAATGATACACAAAATTATGATTTCTTATTTTCTGTTAACAATGGGTAGTCTATACGTCTATCTATTTAAAATAAAAAAGCCTTATGGACATTTTAAATTAAGAGGCAGTTTTAATTTTTTTACTAGTTGCGTCTTATTATTTATTCGTTTTTTTAAAGGTTAAACTTGTCAATAAATACAATTAAAGAAAAGAAAACTAACCACGCTTGACTTTTTTACCATGCTTGACGATTGTGAAGAAAGTTAGTGCTATTTATATTTTCTGAATCATGTATCAAATCTTCAACTTCATTTTTCCTGAAATGTATTCTATGTGGGTTGGATCATTCTTGTATAACTACGGCCAAATGAAAAAGTTAGATTAAAAAGATGTTAAATGAGAAAGTTAGATTAAGTTAGGTTGGGAAAAAAAAGTTCCATTTAATTAAACGTTGACATTATATGCTGCCAAAAGCATAAGCATTTATTATTTAGATTGTATTTATACAACATCGTTTCTTTTCATTGTAAGCATATATAATTATATATAATTATACATAACTATATAGGGAGAAAATTCATGTATGATCTTTTCCCAGGAAGTTTAGCGTTTTAATCAAAAGTATCAAAAATTAAAATAAATATTCGATTTGCTTACTATATAGAGTAGATTCAAGATTTTTACGAAAATTTCATGTTAATTTTGAGTAAAGAGAACAACTTCTTCTTTTAAGTGCATGACAATGTTTTTCTCAAATTTGTGATGGATATATTTTAAGACTACTAGCAAGAAAATATTTTTCAATTAGCAAAGAAAAATTAAAGATAACTATTACTTAAAAGAGAAAGAGAAAGCGGACACAGAATAATTTGTTTAGCAGTAGAATGATAGTTTTCTGTGTATATACGAACGATATTTTATCAGTACTATATATCAGTATGCAACAAAAACTAAACATTTGGTTCCAGTAGCAAATTTATCCTTCCCACATGGAGGAAGTACTTTCCAACGGGTTTTCTACAATATAACTACTTTCACAATTATCGTCACTTTAAAATTATAGTGAATGAATATATTCAATGAATTTTTAATTCGCAATTAACATATCTCGAACTCGCAAGAATTTGGCGACAACTCGTAGTTCGTCCATTATTTACATCTCTCACGAATCCGTCACGCACGCATCTTACTTATGCTGTGCACATATTGCACCTGCCATCGAGCCGCGTGCTCATGCACGAAGAGCGTGGAAGCTTCTTCGGAACAAAGGTACGAGTTTGTCGTCTTCGCGATTGCAAGACCGATCCTCGTAATAACGATGGCGGGAGATTGCGCGAATTTGATTCTCCCCGATTCTCAGGAAAGTTACGAACGATACGATCCACCTTCTGCGAACGCTTAGTCGCTAACTATATATACACAGCGCTTCGAGAGCAGCCCGCTCATGAGCAATAACGTAACTGTTGAAGAGTGAAAGTACGGTAAAGTGGGACGCCGCGGGAATAGTGCTACCTCTTATAATTAATAAACAAAGCGTACAAACGGTTCTCATCCCATTCAATACGACATTTTTTTTATAAGACCTTGCCGAGCAGTTAATGATCGAGACCTTTCCCAACACGCTCACTTTTTTCCTCAGCAGCCTCATGTAATTGTCCGTGGTGTAATAAACGTGGTCGTTTATCGAGATCCGCAAAATTTGTGAAGCCGATCTGAGTCACATTAAAGACATTTCTTTTCGAGAAACAACAAACAAATAGAGAACTTCGTAAAACAAAGTTCACTTTGACTTGAAATTATTTTGTCATCGTGCATTTGACTTTGCGTTAAAGCCAACAGCGCGATGTGCCGTTACATGCGCTTGCTCAATAAAAATTTCAGCTGCGTGAAGTTCGGTAAATATTCATTTTCCTCGGCAATTTTCCATATGATTTCACTCGTTCTCACATTCGTTTGTTTGAACAAAGGGTTCTCAGTTTTCATTTGCAACTTTGGTGGCACACAAAGACGCATATCATTCACGGGGATCTGATAATTCTCATCATGTGGAAAATTTTCACTCGTGCTTTTCAGCGTGAGAGAAGTATTTCATAAGTTGCAAGAAGTTGTTGCGTGCCGTGTTAATTGAAGTCTTGTGAGCCAATTAAAGGGAAATATAGCCCACCGAAACTCCGGATGTGCACAGTGCAACATATTTGTAAATCATGATGACTTTAAGACGCGAAATTATTTATGGAGCGCCATTCTAAACGTAGCGCCGACTTTTTCAAATCGGTTTTGAGATATCGGCTTTGTCGGTCGTACGTTTTAACGACACCGCAGATATCTCCGAGTATTGACTATATAAGCGGAAAATACATAACTGCCCGTTATATAATTACACGCTGTAGACTGTATCAGACGAAAAATTGCCTATAATTGACGTTACGCTCGCTGCACTTTCTATTTCAGGTTCAGCGAATTACAATTCGCCGTCATGCGCGACGTAGTCGTACTATCGGAAAATAGTATTTTCTATTATCTGTTCGATTGATTAAGAACGTTAAATTGCGGTTTTAAAAGCGCCTCGGCATTAATCATCAATTTAATGTATCGTGAAGAGTGTGAAGAATAATAAGCATTAACTTTCTCTTCAGCTAAAGCCACTCATGCCAGCACTGATGTATTTGTACTGGTCGGCGCCGTTAGCTTCAGCTTTTACAACTACTAAATTACAGATGACTATTCGTTTTTCATTTAAAATTAAAACATGTACGAAATATATATACACACACACACACATACGTGTGTACATAAAAAAAATTGATTTAAAAATTTATTTGTTACATATTTATTTGTTATAAAATTTATTTCTGTAAAATTCATTTCTCTGTCAATAAACTTTATATCCCACAAATGGAACTTTCAAGTATTTTTTCTCAGTGCATGTGTAAGTACACTACGGAAAAAGTACTTGAAAATTTGCTTGTGGGTTCTGTATGTAAAGTTTACTTTTTGTCAATATAAACTTTATATTCCACAAGTAAATTTTTCTATTTTTCTTCATATATTCTACAAGTAAATTTTCATGTGTTTTTCTCAGTATATACGAAATAAAAAGAATAATAATGAAAA